GGAGTTAAGAAGGAGCAGGAGATGGTGAGAACATTTACAAGAGCCGTGTGGAGAAAATCAGGAAACTGAATGGAAGACCAGAGGAGAAACAAGAAGGCAAGAGCTCATGAAGACACTCATGGGGGATGTCAGATGATTGGGTAAGTGTGAAAGGCGATGGATGAGATGTTGAGTGAGTCAGAGATGGCTTATGACCTAATTACCACCCGGGCTGAACACTATCCCACTTCAGAGAGGGAGAGAGAGAGAATGTGTGCAGGACGCTGAAGCAATGTAAGATGTAAGAGGAGAGGCAAGCAGAGAAAAAAAAGCCTGTCTACTTGCCCATATTACCATTAACTGACAAAGGGAGAAGGGAGTGTTGAAGTTACAACTGATACAGCCATATGGATAATGGCCCCAAAATCACATTACAAGGCTGGCAAGAAATGAACACTGGCAATTTTCCCACGGTTTTTGCATAGTACTGCCAGTGAGGAGGGTGCAAACAGCACAGCATAGAGGATAAAAGCTGTATCACACATTACATATGCACAATAGTGCACTGGATGATACAGTGTAAAAGTCTGTATCTTTGGTAACACGTTATTTTACAGTGTTCTTGTTACACGTTACATGTACTTATAGTAATAACAGTAAATTATGCATAATTACATGCAACCATAACCCTATAGTAAGTATATGTACTTGATTAATACTCAGTACTTAAGCGTATAATTACACTGTAACAAGGACACCTCAAAATGTGTAGCCAAATGTTCTAAAAATATGGTTATTTTGACATGTACGTTTTACTTTTTTTTATTATAGTTGTTTCCATATGGCTTAAACAACAACAACAACATAAGTCTAAATTTAATGACTAAAAGTATCATGTGGTGCAACCATCAAGTAAAAAGTAACATATTTTCTTTACAACTTGCACACATCTTAATCTAAAAAATATATATATATATATATATATATATATTACAGATATCATGCATTATAAATATAAATAAAGGAGAGGCACACCACATGGCATTTTACTACCTGAATTACTTGCTTAATACTCTTTGTCCCGTGTGAGACATAAGGCCACAATTATAGAACTTTTTTCTTTTCAAGGATTTCAAGAATTGAAGTTTTTGTATGTATGAATTGCATTTGAATGTATTTTGAATAAATTAAAAATGTATAGATTTGCTAAACTAATGTAGATTTGACAGAAATGAGTTAGTGACGTCATTGACTTAACAGTTAAAAAGTGAAAATGCTCTAATGTGAGCCCAGTTTGCCTGTCTGTGGGTGTCACCGTAGCGTGTGAGTTTATGCAGATAAGGTGATGCTTTGTTTCAAACGGCAGGATACACCACACAGGAAAAATGAAAAACACCTGCCTCTGCTAACGTGAGAAACCCACTGTCTCTGCAGTATAGATAAAATGACACGCACCAGTCTCTCTGCTCTCTTCGTAACCATCTGGTTCACAGGTAATATCGTCCTTTTCCTCCTTGATAACAACGTATTAGTGTCTTAAGGTCAATAGCTTGATGAAATTAAACAAATTAATTGCTTTATTTTTTTGCTGCTTTCTCACAGGTCTCGTCCCTGGAGATGTATCTTTGCCAAATCTGGGCATATCTGTGTGGCAAATTCCTGAGATAACAGCAAAAGAAGGCACAGATGTCATCATCACCTGTCACATTAAAGCTGATTCACACGTGGAAAGAATCATGGTGAAGTGGTGCCAAGATAATCAAACTGTACCGAACAGTACAACGCCTTACAATAGATCGCATGTAAATGGATCTGGGAGAATTAATGCAACACTGCACCTGCTGTCAGTGCATCTAAATCATAGTGGCACCTATTACTGCACAGCATGGGTGGATTTACCTACACTTGGACTTGCTGAACTTGGAAATGGGACGCATGTATATGTGGGTGAGCTTTATTTTTTACTTGCTTTATTTTCATTCCATTTTTTTAAGGACAGTCAATGCACTCTACACATTTTTGGTACTTAAAATGTCCAATGAACAATCCAAATGATGAACATTTATACTTCTCTCTCACAACAATTGTAGTGCCTAATTCAACAACAGTGACAACACAAACTCTCACAATGAACACAGTGATGTGGTCAGTGCTTTCAGGCTTGGGCTTTGTTTTGCTGATCATCTGCATTGTCTGTGTTATTCACATACATTATAAAGGCAAGAAAAATTGTGAAATTTCTTTTAAACTTGAATGTTTATGGGTTTATCACAGTGTGCTTGAGATTTGAAGAACTATTACATTTTTAAATAAACTAAATTCAAATGACTATAAAGTTTAACAGGCTGATTTTTTATTTAAATCTAGGACACTGCAGAATAGAATCTAGAGCAAAAGAAGCCCTAGTAAGTGATGTTTATTTATTTGTTTGTTTATTTATTTGATTGATTCTGAATATTGGCAAGGCTAATGGTCTTTCAGAAAAGTAATATAGTATTTTTCTCAATTTACTATTTCACTCTCAGGTTGACGTTGCCCGTGGATCACCCTGTCCAGACGCTCACCAAACTCATGTTGTTTATGCAGCATTAAACATTTCTCGAAACAGTGTAAAATCAAGAAAAGAGGTAAATTTGCCCATCAAGAGCCTTTAGTAGTCTGTAGTATTCAAATCATGCAGTTATTTGTTACATGTTAACAATTTAGTAAGCAAATAGAGAGATTTTTTTTTCATTCGCACTTAATACATTGTAAAAAAAAACATATTCCACCTATTTCAACTGAAAAAAAACATTTCAACTTAAATTACATTAAACTGACATGAAATCAAGTTGAACTTCATGTAACATAAAAAAGTTTGATAAGTTAAAGTAATGTAACATAAGTTGTCATGACTTACTGATCATATAATTTTTTATAGTGTATGGAACCAGATGCAATTATTATATCATGTTATGACTTGTTTTTCAGAATTGTCCGGCTATGGCACTTACTTCAGTGACCTGCACAGAGGATTCAGTGACATACTCTGAGGTCCACTTAAAGAAAGGACCAAAGGATGAAGGTTAAGCATTATTTGCCTGAATTTTATTTAATTTTTTCACCTTGCATATGAGATAGGGTGCCATTGACTCTTTTAATGGCACTTCAAGCTTCTGGTCCTGTTTGGCCCAGTTTTGTGAAGGTTTTTCCTGTAAATACATTTATATAGTTTCCAACTGTTTGTGTTTTTTCATGCAGTGTTCATGAAGACTGAATTGTTAAATGCTGTGGCTCACATTTGAGTCTATTTTAAGCTGTATTGTGTTCAAACTGCATGTATATTTTTAAGATAAAATTCTTTCAAAGATTTTTTGTGTGTCTTTTGAGTGATCAGGTTAGGGTTAAATAAGTTAAACGCTTGAACTTATTTTTATTGTATTGTTTAAAAGGTGAGTGTCAAACTGATATGCAGCGTAATGGAATAGCAAAATTATGTTTTGCCAGTGGTTTATCTGCCAGTGTTTTTATAAGTGCACTGAAAAGAAACTTTCAAAATGATATTATATATAGGAATTAGACTGCAATTGTTAAAATTCTATTTAGAAAGAGAGAAATTATAATGTGTGGTGGCTACAGCAATATGCAAAGTTTTATTCTAACATTTTGTTTTTCATATCACACTAAAAAGATGTTAACCTGAAAATGGTAACATCTAAATTAACTGGTTTTATTAAAATCAAAAACATTATTTAACATCACTAAATCAACCGACAATTAATTTATACCAACAAAACTAATTTTTATGAGGTAAATCAGGTAGAAATAGCTCTTCAAGTTAACAATTGCAGGTTACCACTTTGTACAGTGTTTATAGCAAGTTTTGTAGCAATAAGCGTCATACAAGAAGATGACAAGAAATAAACTGTTTAATTGTCAGAACAGAGATGTTTATCGAAAAAGACTAATACGTGTTACCGCCTACGCAACCCCATTTAGCGACTTAACGGTAAAAGCCCTTGTCATATGACGTGCTTCAACAATAAGATAACCCTGTTTCAACCTGACCAAAATCTCTGGTTTCAATGTATTTTCACAAATGTCCCGTGAATACAGATTTCTGTGTGGGGGTGTTGAGTGTGCGCTTTCAGAAGACAGAATCAATAACATACTGTGGGCTATTTGACATGCCCTGAACCCACAGGTGAATAAAAAAAAGACTAACAAAATTAACAGGCATCTTCTGGTGTAAAGTGAGTCATGCATGCAGATTTAAATCATGTAGGAGTTTTGAAATTTGAAACAATTTAATTTGTATTTCCAAATTGACTTAGAATTTTTTTTATTTAAGCTTCAAACAAGAAACATTAAAACTTTCAATTAATAACAGCCATCCTGTTTACTTCATAAAAAGTGTTATATTAGTGTTGCTACTTTTTTTCCACCAGTACCAGAATCTTCAGTTAATTGAAGGACATTTATATTCCAATTATTACAACATTTTAAACCTCTAAAAGAGATTAAAGGAATTGTGTTATAGATATAAACTTGGTAAAAGCAACATAACAGCATGGAAATAGGGGTTACAATTCACATTTTAAATCATCTTACTGACGATAATACATTAGATCACGACAGCACCAGACATGCATTCACTCTCGAACAAACATTCACTCAACAGTAGCATCATTCACATTGCCTTCTTTCGCAAAAAACACTGAACAAAATAAAACAAAAAGTTCAAGTTCATCAAATCATGGGGGGAAAAAAGCATTTTTGGACACACAATATCATGTGTTTGCGTTCTTGAGCATAAAAAGCTCTCTTAATCAAGCTGACAGATCTCACCAGATCAAAAAGATAGTATGTACAATATTTTACACAAACAAGGTCGAATCTAAGTCTGAGAAGTATGTTCTTCTTATAATTACTGCTATTTTGATCTGTGTAATAAATCCAGTTGCAAAACTAACAAAATATACATTTTGACATCCCATCACACTATATTCTTCAGTAGAAAATGTACCAAATGTGTCTCATGATCTGTGTAATAAATCCAGTTGCAAAACTAACAAAATATACATTTTGACATCCTATCACACTATATTCTTCAGTAGAAAATGTACCAAATGTGTCTGAAAGTGATTTAGTCTTTTAAATACGCTACAAAGATTCACATAGTTTTGACAGATTATTGCTCTTCTGCTGTTAAAAAGAAAAGGCTTATCTACAGTTACATACCTACATGTACATAATGTCATCACAAAAAAGACAAAACTTTGAACAAGGACTGAGAGATCAAAAACATACAACTAAGACAAAAAATACACTTAAGTTGTTAGCATTTTAAACTGAGAAATGAACTAATTATTTACACGTTTAGCTCTATATAAGAGGAGCAGGAGGTTAGTTTAGAGACTGATATGACAGTAATTCATAAAACAGGAAATATTACATTAATAGTGTTGCAACTGACATTCCATCAGTTTAAGGTTGATTCATTTCATCCAAAACCATTCAAAGTCAGAGAGCTTGATAAAAGAATAAAACCCTGCGGCACGTAGAGTGCATCCATTATATTCGATTGAGATCACCACATACTTCAAAAATCCTTCCTTAAGATGTAGGGAAGACGTCAGAACCATGAATACTATTGTACCTGTCACTCATTTCAATGATAGCCATTAGTAAATGCTGTAGCAATCAGAGGGCCCTGTAAAAGTAAAAATAAGGCATGAATTTGAATGCAGCATGAAGGAATTCACAGGAAAAACATGCTTATTTTTACTTAATTAAAGTTCAATTATTTATTAAATTCATTGTGGTCATCAGATTTTCTCAATCAATGATATAGCGCTTTGTTAAATTAAAAAAATACATAAAAAATGCAATTCAGATGTACAAATCATGTTTTTAATTACTTTTTTTTGTGTGAATTATTAATTCACGAGACTCATTAAGTTTTTTTTTTTAGAATTTGTTAAGAAAGTGAAAGAAAGTGACGTGACATGTGGCCAAGTATGGTGACCCATACTCGGAATTAGTGCTCTGCATTTATCCCATCCAAAGTGCGCACACACACAGCAGTGAACACACACACACCGTGAACACACACCCGGAGCAGTGGGCAGCCATTTATGCTGCGGCGCCCGGGGAGCAGTTGGGGGTTCGGTGCCTTGCTCAAGGGCACCTCAGTCGTGATATTGAAGGTGGGAGAGAGCGCTGTACATTCACTCCCCCCACCTACAATCCCTGCCGGTACGAGACTCAAACCCACAACCTTTGGGTTATGAGTCCGACTCTCTAACCATTAGGCCACGACTTTCCCAATATTTTGGGAAAGTCGTGGCTATTAAGTATACTTAATATTTTGAGTTAGCTTTTTTATATTTTCAGTTTTAATTTTAAATATAGTTTAAGTATTAGTAATTTTATCATTTTTATTATTGTTTAATACTTCTGTTTAGCTTTGATTTATTTTTTTAATTTAAGTTTTAATTTGAGTAATTTGAGTACTTCAGCTTAAAGTGATTTTTAAGTTAGTTGCCAAAGCAACATTTCTCATTTTTACTTTTAGTATATATATCAGCTTTATTTCAATGACTGAAAATGTTTTTTTTAATAGTATTAGTTTTAGTTAACAGTATCAACACTGCATGTTGCTGACTCACCCCAAGGCTGTGGCTGAATCCAGTGCTGGGAGCGGGACTTGCAGCGCTGATATAGCTACTGATGGCTGAGTCCTGAGTGGCCGTTCCATACAGGTCTGCCATCGGCCCAGGGCTGCTGGTACCTAAAAACCCAGCTGAGCGAGAAGGAGTTGAGCCTAAAGAAATCAACATGAAATTCCACAATGTCTTAACCACTTTTCATTAACAGGGAATCTTAAAGCTATATAGGCCAGCCATTGGGGTGTGAGCTCTCATTTGCTGAGCATGGGTCGTGTGTGGGATGTAGAAAAAACAAAATTCTCGCACCTCTGACCACAGCTGCTGCTGCTGCGGCTGCCGCCATGGGGTTGTACGCCGTTAGAGGAATGGCTACGAAAACATCCGCATACATGCAAAACAGGCAAACAAACAGGAAAGAGAACTTAATCAGTACCAAGCAGTACGAAAGCAGTGGGAAAAGTGCTTGCATCATACTGAGTAAGAAATGATGCTCTGATAATGTGTGGTAATGCCTGTAAGCTGTTACGCAGGATTTCCTGGGTGGTGTTGTCACAAAGTAAGCTGACAGCATTCAGATCACACTATGCTGTGTACTAGAATATGGCGAGCGGCTGCCGTGTACAATAGCTGCTTGTAAAGCTCATAGAGGAACTAACCTGTGAGCTCAGCGGGGTGGGGTGATGTCAGAAGGGGGGTCCTCTCTAAGTGGAATTCTAGAATAGAGATAAACACAGAAAGCTGTTTAAACATACACACAAGAGCTGTTCACACTACACACATGGACAAGCACTACAGGGCCTATGAGTGGCAAGACACATAGAAAGACAGTCTTAGACCGCCTCTCTGAGATTTACAAGCAGCCATGGGTCTCTATGAGTTTTTTTGTGTAAATGACTGATTGAAATGCACTGATTTCCACAAAAATATTAAGCAGCACAACTGTTTTCAACACTGACAATAATAAGCATCAAATCTGCACATTAGAATGATTTCTGAAGGATCATGTGACACTGAAGACTGGAATAATGATGCTGGAAATTAAGCTTCGCATCACAGGAATAAATTACATTTTAAAATATATTCAAATAGAAAACAGTTATTTGAAATTGTAATATTATTTCACATTATTACTGTTTTTTTTTACCAAATAAATGCAGCCTCTGTGAGCATTAAAGACTTCCATCAAAAACATTTAAAAATCAGTCTCAGAATCAGAGTGGTAATGTACATACAGTATAATCTAATATATGTGGTTTTACTCATAAAATCTAAGCACAAATGTAGAATTTCCATTTTTGATTACTATTAGTGTATTACTTGCATATGTATGTGCATATGGAAATTGGGTGGCATCAAATGTTTCACCAGGAATGCCAGATAATGTTCAAAAGCATATTTAGCAACTACTTATGTTGCTTAATGTTAGCAACTTGTATCTGACAACCATTTAAATATATACTGATTTGTGTATATACAATTATAATCTAATAAACAATCACTTCTGACTCAAAAACCCAATATTTGATAATACTGTGTTTGCAAAAACGTATCCCAGGAAAGAGTTAATCCCAGTGAACCAATATGTGGAAAGGATATGAGCCGGATATCAGAATGCATGAGCTGGACATTGAGTCTTACCAGGGAACTGATATGTGTATCCTGGGGCCAGACTAGTATAGCTGCGACTCGCATATGTTGCTGCCTGGAACCCTGGATAACCTTGGGAAAAAATATGACACCAATTAATGTCTATTCATAAAGTATTTTGAGTAAATAACAATAATATATAATATTTTGTTAAACAATTATAGGAGTAAAATAATATTTAATTTGAATAGTATTTAATAGTATTAACAGTTATCTGATAATTCATGTTAAAACAATATTAGTCAATATAGTAGAATGAAAGTATAGCATTTGTGTCTTCAGTATGAATTTTACGGCCCTTTTCACTATCAACAGCAGAGGGCAGAAGAGTCCATTCTATGCTTTGAGTTCTAATCATCCTTGTGATCGGCAGTTAAAAGCTACACTCTTACCCAGCATTCCTATGCCAAGCATGAAGGCGTCCATCCCATAGGGCATGACACGCGCACGACCTCTTGAAGAGCCTGTGGGTGACATCACTTCCTTGGGCTGGGCTTTCTTACACTCCACCTGTGAATGGAAAGGGAAGATATCAGTCAGTCAAACACAAGTTTTAGCAGTGTGTCTGAAACGAAACGGTGTCTCAGCATAAGAATTCTCACCATCTTGTTGTTGATTTCATGGAAGTGGATCTCACAGACTTTCTCCACCACATCTTCATTCTCGAAGGTCACAAATCCAAACCCTGAGCAAAGAAAGAGTCCAGACACTCAGACCGCAGTTTACATTTGGATTTCCACTTCAGCCACCATTATAAACAATGTCTAAAGTTCAGGTACTTCAGTTCAACTTCAGGTGAGACGAAACTGCCAAATAAAAGCCAATGGATTCTACTTCCTTTCTCATTGACCTTGTTAAATAAATACCAGAATGATTGTGACATCACTAAAAAGTACCATGATACTACAGTGTTTTTTTGGACATGTACTATGGTATGCATTAATGTACCATTAGCATCTGATATAATCACTGTACCATGGTACAACCAGGATACTTTTTATTTAGGGATAAAATGGGGTCCAAAATCTGAGAACAATAATGAAAATGCTTCTATTACAAATTACATTATCAGCATATCAATTTGAGTGAAAATGTTAATTTAAAAATGATTTATGTAGCACACCACTATGTTTTTGAAAGAAGTCTCTTATGCTATTATAAATGAAAAAAATAAGATTACAAATCCTTATTGAATAAAATTAAATAATTTAAAAAATGTATTTATTGTACTGACACCCTGAACTTTTGAATGGTAGTGTACATAAATGACAGAATATGTGTGTCACCAAATATAAAAAAAATCACATAATCATTGGCACTTTGTTTAGGGCAGAATCATAACATTTCCTTGTTTTAAAATGTCAAAATCCATTTTTTCCCCATTTATATTAACATTTAAATGATCCCAGATTGTGGTCTCAAGCGTTTAGACTTCTCTACATATCTGTAAAAAGTAACTTCATGTCCTTTTTCCCTGTGCCTGTAACCTCTCCGTTTTGAGAGGTCATCAGATTTCCGATGAACTGTAATATATATTAAACCTTTGAAGTCATACAGGCATCCACTCTGTCTCTGTAAACAGTGCTAGATTTTCTCAACAAAAAGATGTGCTGCTAGTTTTGTTTTTTCAATGAAAACTTGCTTCTCTCTTCTCAAGTGCTGCTCCTCCACCTCTCCACTGGGTTGAAAGGCAGCGGTAAAGCCATGCAAACTTTCATAATCGATGTGCTGTCGAACCGGCAAGGGCACTTAACGAGGTTTTAGCCTAAACCCTGATTAACGAACACACTAATTACTCAATCTCTCTCCTCACCTACTACTTATATGGAGGGCCATGGAGAGGAGACGGAGACAGATTGGACCAGGTTTAGGAAGGAAGGAGCAAACGGGAGAACGGCTGCCATTGACGTGCACAGTTATTTAATGAAATAAAGAAAAAGGGAAATTTACCTCTGTGCCTGTTGGTGGTTTTGTCAAACATAAGCATGGCGTCATCCACCTGTAGGACAGGAAGAGAGAGATTACATGCATTTATTATTTGTTATCTAGCATTAGTCACAGTTCTCAATCTTGTGATGACGTATATCCTACTGAAACAGGATGTTTGGGGGGACTTATATATAGGACATGTCTCTTTTTTTGTAAATGGCCAATAGGCTTTAGCTACGTCACGCCCATGAATCATAATATGCTACATGATGGTCAGTTTCAGTTGATATTAGGGGCTTTTGATTGGATAACAATATGAGAAGTGCAGGATGAGTCATCAATGTTTTTTTTTTTTTTTTTGGTATTCCTGGAAGAGAAAATATTAAATATGTATATTTGCTAGCTTTGTTAACTTTTTAGGGAGTCTTCAAGGGTCACCACAATTTAGCAATTTAGCATTTAACAGCTAACGGTAGCCATTGTCTGCCATATTATGGAAAATAAATAGTATGGTATCAATGGCTACTGTCAACTGTTTGGTTACTCACATTCTTCAAAATATCTTTTTTTTTTGTTCAACAGAAAAACAAAACTCATACAGGTTTGGAACAACTTGAGTAAATGATGACACAAGTTTCATTTTTTGGGTGAAGTATCCCTTTAAGTGTATTATAATCATGAAAGTGTACTCTCTTTAAGTACAATTAAGTGGTCTTGTATTTCAATAATGTTATTTTATCTCCAAGTATATTTTAAATATACTTTAAGATTTGAAGTAAATTACAAGTGCACATTTAAACATTGCTAACTAGTTAATTAGATGGAATGCTAACTATAATATCATAGGGTTTCTGTTAGAAGAAAGAAGGGCGAACGTGTATTTGTCTTGCGTTTTAGTGTCTGTATGTTTGTGCAAAAGTGCGTCACAGTGAGCATACTGACAGCTTAAACCTAAAGGTCAGAGGTGAAGGTCAAACTTCGAGGTCTTTGAGTGAGAAAGAAAGAGAGGATGAGAAAGTGTTTCATATTCAATCTAGAATATGAAACACAAGTGGACAGCCTGACCAATCAACACTTTATGTGTGCACACGCTCACAGTCTCTTGGTGAAGACTAACTAAAAGGCCAATAACACTCTCTGTGTTCTCTCTCCATTCCCTTTTACTCATCTTTTAATGTGTGTGCCTGGAAAAAGAACTTGTCTAATAGTGTACAGTGGGTATTGAAAAGAATCACCCCCCTTTAAAATAATCACATTTTGTTGCTTTGCAGCCTGAAATGAAGACTGACACCGTTTTTGTTTTATCCAGCTCTATTTACTCAGTGCAACTTATAACATCCAAGTGAAAGATATTACACAAAAGAAAACCAGAATCAGATCACCCCCTTTGTGTCAGTATTTTGTTGAACCACCTTTTGCTTTAATTACAGGATTTGTCTCTGTCTCTACTAGCTTTGCACATCTAGACTTTGCAATATTTGCCCAGTCTTCTTTGCAGAAGTTCAGTTAAATTTGATTGCAAAGTCTGGGCTCTGACTAGGCCATGCAAGGACATTCACCTTTATTTCTTTCAACCACTGTGTGGTCAGTTTTGCTGTGTGCGTTGGGTCACCGTGTGCTTCTGGATAAAACAAAAACGGTGTCCGTCTTCATTTCAGGGTGCAAAGCAACAAAATGTGATTATTTTAAAGGGGGGTGATTCTTTTCTATACCCACTGTAGTAGGGTTTAATATTACTAGTTATTAATTGGCTGATATTTGGTCATTTTGTGATCATCAGCATTGGCCAAAATTAAATAACAGTCTCACATTTTTATCAATGGGTAATAAACAAATTGTTTTAAAATTAGTGATGCATTTAAGTGAAACAAAAAAAGTTTTAGTAATTAAATTTGGGTAGTTAAACTCTGTTTAAATGCTGTTCAGGGTGTCGTGTTCACAGGTGATACATTAAAACAGTGGTATTTAAAGTTCTATGGCAAAAAGCTGTTTACACATTGCTACTCTAGCATCAATTTTGGTCACGATGAAGTGCATCCACAAAGCTGACATGTTTACCTGTTGTAGTTTATTTAAGTTGTATGCGCAAAAAAGACACTGACACAGTCAAAATGCGTCATTGAAAAAGTGCTAATTATTCAGGTCATTGATTTTGGGTCATCCAAAACTAGTCCAGTCGAAACCAAAAAGTTTTTTTTTTCTGTTTCAGCTGAATTTTTTCAGTTGCTAACATTTTGGTGGATCACTATACGTGAACTTTGAGTAAATATTCTTTAAAATAAGTGTTCATATAATTTAATCAATTTTATGCACATTTCATTTTCTGTCGCTTCCCATTGTTGTTATGGCAGTCTTGGACATAAAGAAAAAACAACAGTTTAAGTTACCAATATTATCATAGAGATGTGAATTTGAAGTAAATATATATTTTTTTAAATAAGTGTACATTTAATTTAATCAATTTAATGTACATTTCATTTTCTGTCATTCAGCAATATATTATGTTGTGTTTGCCTAAATGACAGTCTTTGACATAAAGAAAAGTCAACAGTTTAAGTTATCGATAATATTTCAGAAATGTGATTTTTGAGTAAATATTATTTAAAGTAAGTTCCCTCTCGAGCTTTCACGAGACATCACGGAGATATTTCTCCGTTATGGGAACTCCTTCCCTTCCAACCTTTCCTGAAGTCCTATTGGCTACCGCCAGTCCAAATGACTGGCCAATTGACGCGAAGTATGCAAATCGCATGCAAATACTGACGAGCTCGAGCGGCAGTATAAATCAATTTTCTGTACATTTAATTTTCTGTCCTTCATCATTATATTACGTTGTATTTGCCTATATGGCAGTCTTGAACATAAAGAAAAATCAGCAGTTTAAATCTGCAAAACTTTTAAACAATAGAACAGAATCCCTGTAGCTCAGACAGTAGAGCATGCGCTAGCAATGCCAAGGACAAAGATTTGATTCCTAGGGAGAGCAAGCACTGATAAAATGTTTACCTTGAATGCAGTGCAAGCTGCTTTGGATTTAAGAGGCTAATTGTGACAAGAGAGTTACGGCGATAAAGTAAGCATTTTTTCTGGGCTTGTGATACTAATATGGCAGCCCCATTTCAGACCCATAAAACAGCTGTTATTAGTCTTCTAATCTCATGTGTGAGTGTACATGATTTATCACATTTTCAAATCTGTTAATTAGTGCACCTTTAAAGGTCAGATCAGGTAGAAATCTGAGAGCTTTTCTCACTTCTCACGCGTTTGTACTTAAATATCTTGAAACGTTTCTATTTTCTAATCTTAACTAGTATCTTTTTTTAAATTGAGTTATAAATCGAGTCCCTTCTTATCATGGTGTCTGTTTTTCTCTCTCCATCACTCCCTCTTTCCATCCCTTGTTCAAACCAGGCCAGAACACAAAGTGACCAGTGAGGCAAACTAATCTGCAACTTCCCCGGGTGGCTGCGACTATCATCTCTCTCTCTCTTTTTCTCTCTCTGGCTGCATTCCACACTCAAGTATGGCTCAAGAATGAGGAATTATTTTCCGCCCAAGTTTTGCACTGACAATGTGTAACTGAAGTGTGATGCAAAGAAACATTAGATGATCTATTACAGAAGCCCATTAGCGTTTGGGATGTATTGTTGTGTTACTTCAGTTATGAACATTTGTCCTCCCCCTAGACACACAGTCTCTCCCTCGTTTTCTCTCTTACACACACACACACCCCAAACACAAAACCTTTTGCCCGCTAAATTACTTGGGGACAATGGATGGGCAGGGTCACCGTGGTAACCGGGTAGGAGGGGGGGCTGAGGGCAGGAGCAGCTGTTCCATCAAATTAATTCAGATTCAAGTAATCTCCCCCACCTTCCCCTGCAAACAAAACTCACCCCTTCAAACTCTCAAACTCTACCCCAACTCTTTCTCTCAGTCTCTCTGTACATTTCTTGTTCCCTCTTTCATGCTTCCCCACCAAACTGGCTCAGATTTCACTCAGTACACCTCAGTAAAACCTTCAGAATCATTAGTTTGTTATTTTATAAAATAAAAAAAAACTGTGACTGTACATTCAAAACTACTGTTCAAAATTTTGGGGTCAGGTAAGATGTTTTTTTTTTTTGTGAAAGAAATTAGTACTTGTATTTAGCAAGGATGTCTTAAATTAATCAAAAGTGACAGTAAACACATTCACATTCAAAAAATTATATTTCTATTAAGTTGTTTTTTACTTTTTTATTCATCATATGAATAAATAAATGTTCAAGACTGAAAAAGTTGAAGAGTTGAAACCTCATATTGATCTACCACCACTAAGTTCAAATAGAGAGCAGTTATTTTAAATTGTAATAATATTTCACAATATTACTGTATTTTTCATTAAATAAATGCAGCCTAGCCCTAGGTGAACATAAGATACTTCTTTTATAGGCATTAAAACTTTTGACCCCAAAACCTTTGAACGGTTCTAAGAACATCACATCCCCATAGGAAAATCACTGTAACTTGCTGCCTCTCAAGGCTTATCGCTTTATCACCCTGCTATCCCCTAATGCCTTCAATTGTTTCACACAAAGCCGACTTACCTTTCCAAACTGGTCAAAGTACTGCTTTACATCTTCAATAGTAGTGTTCACCGATAGACCTCCAACAAAGATTTTCTTTGTCCGAGTCACCAACTGAAAAAGAGAGAGAGAGGATGACGAGATGAAGATCTTCAAAAATAACAAAAAGCTGGATATTATCAAGCATCTTGACCACGTTGACCCGTCAGGCACATACCTTAGGCTGGGCTCGTCGTGGGAAGGCAACTTTCGGGTCAATCTAGAGGAGAGTTTGAGAGGAGAAGGTCTAGTTTAGAAATTCTGGAGAAAGAGGAAGACTGACACCAACACACTGGGACTGTAAATGAGAAGATCAGTGAGAAGCTCACATCCTCTGAGCTCTGGTTTCAGCTGGTGTCTCTCGGCCCTTGCAGGGACGTCTGCCTGTGTGTTTTAAAGGCTCTGACTGCACCCTGCATTAACTTTACTGTCTGAGAATGATGGCACATTCATACATGCAGAGTTCAGGGAAGGACAATAGAGATGAGAAATGAAAAAGAAATGTAGATTCATCTAAAGAGAGAACAAGAATGACAGTGAGAAACTATTAAAAAGAGAATAACGCTCCATTCACACTGACAGTGATTTTGCTAGATGTTGCCAGGTGGCTGTATTATTAGTCGCTTGTAGACGTCCCTAACATTACTGGTTGGCGGTGCAATTGGACACAGATTTGATGGTAAAAATAAGACAATATTTTTATAATTAATTTTTCCGTTTTTTTTTTATTGCTGCAAAAAAATGATTATTTTGTAAGAAAAGTGCTTGAACATAAACTGCAGTACTGCATGTCAGAATTCATAAAAATCATAATTTTGATAATTATATCCCTATATAAACTGTCGTATTAAGATTTGGGTTTGGTACGATTTACTTAATGTTTTTAAAAGAAGTCTTTAAAGACTTAAGAAATCTCTCACCAAGGCTGCATGTGTTTGAAAAATAGTAATATTGTGAAATTTTATTACAATTTAAAATAACTGTTTTCTATTAGATTTTTTTAAATGTAATTTTTTTTTTAAATGGCAAAACTGTATTTTCAGCAGCCAATACTCCAGTCTTCAGTGTCACATGATCCTTCAGAAATCATTCTAATATTATTTATTAAATGATCATAGTATTATTAATATTATAATATTATAATCATTCTTTTTTATTATTATTATAAATTTTAAAAACAGTAGTGCTGCTTAATTTGTTTTTTTGTATAATCCGTAATTAATTTTTTATGATTCTTTGTTGAATAGAAAGTTCAAAAGAACAGCATTTATTTGAAATAGAAATCTTTTGTAACATTATAAATGTCTTTCCTGTCCCATTTGATCAAATTAATGTGTCTTTCATCAAAAAAGTATTAATTTCCTTCAAAAAAAGATAATGCGCTACACAGTCTTCACTCCAATTGTTAGTCCCCTCAATGTGATTTTTCTCATCGCCAACGGTCACCGCCGCTCATGTGACTGGCAAACTTGGAGTCACTTTGTTGCTGTCAGTGTGAACACCCCTTAAATCAGAGAGTGTACTAACGTTCACAAACGACAGAGAAACAGGGTGAAAAGTTTACAGGTTTCTATGAGAGGCAAATCTAAATGGAGGAGTGTGACTAGACAGAAGAGGCTGTCATGACCACCTGTGACTGGACAAGAGAAGGGTCAGCTTTCCTGTAAACATCACTGGACGACATGAAAAACACTCAGGGAAACACCACAACCATGTTTCCTTGGAAGAAGAGTGGTCGGAAAACAAAAGGCGGCACAGAAACTCAAGCAGAAAATCATCCTTGACCCACACACTCCTTTGACAGCCAAACAAAATACTTTGTTTGTTTGTGTTTGTTTGTTTTTGCATGTCTTTCCTTCTATTTCTTTTCTTTCTTTCTACAAATCTGAATATCGTTTATTGGTGTCTAAATCTGGAAAATAAGCTGTAAAACATCAAAAATTGTATCCAGCTCCTTGAAACTACAGTATATTTGCACTTGAATGCATTAAAACAGTGTTAAAGTTGCTAAAAAGCTACATTTGTGTAAATGTATCCTCAACATTTTGATATACCATTAGCTTTTTTATTTATGAACCATGTGCAGAAAATTTGATGTTGATTAGCACCCATTGCAAAAGTAGACAAACTAGATTACAGATACTCAAGATACTCTATATTAGTCTATAGTCTAGTCCATCTATTTACCAAACGCTAGTCTACATCATGCTGTACTGAGGTTAAATTCTAGAAGACAGTGAAGGCAGTACAGCGCTAGCAGCAATAATGATTAGTCTGTCTGAGAGAGGGTTCGAGTAGAGCTACGCTAAAGAGCTAGCAGTTCTGAGGTAAACTACAGCAGTTTACCAGAGTCCCCCATTTGTTTTCATACAACAGACTAGGAGTAACAGAGTTTCTTTGTGAATCTAGAGAGTAAAATGAAGATGCTAAGCTAATCTGAACAGAGGTCTGATGCAGAGGCTACGGTTTACAGTATGTCTATAGTTTCTAGACTACTCTGATAGTCACCTCCGGTCCACAACATTGCTGAGGCCGCACCACTCCTGTGCACAATCAAAAACAAACAAACAAACAGACACACACACACACACAAACAAACAAAATCAACATACAGCCACCGACGCACATGAGAGGAAAGCTGAGGATAAAATGTATGGTCACATAAAACAGATTACTGTCATTAGAGTTGGTTTTGATCATGTGGAGAGACACTGAAAAGTAATGGATTCAGTATGTTTAACCTCCACAGACAGTCACTAAATTCAGATTAGTGGTAGATCAATATGAGTTTTTCAGCTCTTCAACTTTTTCACTTTTTCAGTCTTGGATGTTTGCTTATATCCTTTGCATTTTATGACGTAATAGTTCAATGAAATGACAATTGCGTCTTATCTATTAATTATTATTCAAAATTCATACAATTACACCTTTTATTCTGAGTATGTTTTTACAAACAGGGCTTTTAAGTGAATTTCACTAAATTCACATTAGTGGTGGTAGATCAATATGAGGTTTCAACTCTTCAAATTTTCAGTCTTGAACATTTATTTATTCAATTACAAATTAAAGTAAAATACAGTTTCTAGATTTTTATTGTGAGCATGGTTTTTAATTTCTGAATTAAAATTTATTTTGATATCTTTGGGGGCCATAAAGTAAAAAAATAAAAAATAAAAAAACCCACCACCAACAACAAAAAATCATAATGAAGAAAAAAAAATTGCCTCATTACAAGAATGCAATTCTTGAAACACTATTTATTTTTTATTATTATTACTATTATTTACAAACAAATCTGCTTCACTGCTTATACATTTTTAATTAGCTTTTCCACTAGATTTAAAGAAAAGTGGTGTGACCAAAGATCATTAAATAAAAAATAAACAAATAAATAAATAAAACAGGAAATGACCCTAATCACTATGTATCAAAGTATCTTAAAATACAATTATTTGATCATTTTATGACAAGGCAAGATTAATTCAGGATGTAAAATGTCATGTGGTACAACCCTACAAAACCTTAATGGTATTTATGAACTAATTCCTAATATTCATATTCTATCAAGTAAAATAGAAATAATTTTTGCTTAAAAAAAAAAACGGATTAATATGTGTATATTCACATGTATTTAAGGTGTAAGGAAAATATTTGATAACTTTGAAAATATTTTTAACTGGTGTGGACATTTGAACATTTTTGTTAAACAGTATTAAAGTTTTTCAAAACCATCTGAAACCAAAATTATTATAAAGAGCACATTTCTAAGAACCTGATGTGCTTTCAAATTGATTTTTAAAAGATTTTCTCTTTTCATCTTGGACACTTTTATTTGCTCTTATTTGACAGAGAGGTCGATATTACAGTGAGAACCTCTTTTTGAGTTTGACTACCAGCGCTAATACACTTCAGAATTAAAGTGTGCACAACAGATGCACACTTTGTATGGAGATTGCGATTTGTGTGTTTACTTTAAGGGTGTTTTCAGATGCTGTCAATACTTCTCTGTGGCTCTGGGAATAACATTACCCTTTGATTCATACATTTTCCATCTTGGGAAAATATGAAGCAACATACAGTGACATAGCTTTCTTTTTTTAACATGAAAATACATCCTCACATATTTCTGAAATACAATAACAAATATATCTGAATAGTTTTTGACCACAACGTGGTCGACCAAAATTGCCATCCCTGTCAAAACTATTTTAAGTCAATGGACTTAACTATCCAGGTCAATCCTTTAGGGTCAATCGCTAGAACCCTAGCAGTGTGTCAATCACATACAGACAAACACACGAGCACACAACCACACAGAATGACCGCACCATCCACAAGAATGCTCAACAAGACCACTGACTTAAAACTGTGATTTTTATGATTTGCGCCGCACACATTTCTCTCTTTCTTTCCTGGCCTCCCCTCCTCCACCGCCCCATCGCTGAGCTCGTTAAGCTAATCTCCAGTTTTAAGTCGGCCCAGGCGAGCAGCCATAAGGCACCTTCACAGGGGCACAGTCATAGAGGTAAAGCAGGACAAAGGCCTCCATGTTCCCCTGGCTCTGCCTGCCTCTCTCTCAGGGGGGAGGCACTTAGAAAACAGCACAAGTGGCCATGCTGTGGAAGACTGGAGCTGAGAGACACTTTCTAAACGCTCGCTGTAGTTGTTATGTTAGTTTTATTTAAGAGTCCGATGGGCTTTTGCAGTCCCTTTCCTTCGGTTGCCTGGTTCGGATAGCGGCGTAAAATCTACGACTCATTTTCAGGGTAATTCTGAACAAATTACCTGGAGTGTTGAGCATTTTTGAAGTACAGAAACACACAGTTTCGTTGTGGTTTGCCGTGCACTACCTGTTGCTATAGTGCAAGGCGGTTTTTCACTCAAATGAGGAACTGGTTCAAACTTTCAGAAGAGAGAGAGAGAGAGATGAGAAAGTTTTTTTCTTCTCCTTCGAGCCTCACCCTCCCTCCCCACTGACCCCCTGGGGGGGTGACTCCACTGTCGCCATGGTAACAAACGGGCACCATTGTCCCAGGACCCGCCTGCTCTGCACAGCGACAAAGACTCTCACAAATAGATGCACCACAACACAAAACCTCTCATCAAAGTTTCCCATTTTTAACACTCTTACTGACACTACTAATTCGTTTTGATGCCAAATCATGTTTACTTTATTCATCAGATGAATGTCATTCATAAAGTAGACCTAAAAATCCTTTCTAACAGAAGTACACCTGTTAGAAAAACAGCATTGAAGCATCACAGGATTCGAGGACTAGTTTCCACAGGGGAAAAATCTGAATTCCGCCTGAGTCTAATGTGTTTGGTGTGCACTCTTGAGACAAGGCACCACAAAGGCTTCCCAGCAACTCCCAGCATACCCTGTTCGGGTCCCCTAGTTACCATAGCGATTGACACAGAATAGGAATGCTTCCCTGACAACCTCATTGAGGAACGGCTGAGATGGGAACTTTTTCTCGCTCTCTCTCCAAATCTTCCCGAATTGTTTGACCAAAACCCAAAGTGAAAAGGCATGAAACCTCACATGCATACACAGCATCTGTGACTATCATGGCATTTCAGACAGTCAGATACTGCACTAACACTCATTAAAGCTAAAAAATGTGTATCTGAAGTGGTTTTAGTAAACACAACCCCTAAAATAAGCCAAAGGATGGCAATGATGCACAGGAGACAGTTAGCACAGCAGTTAAATGATGTTAAAACTCACAGTTTTCGAGTCCAGCTCATGTCTGGACTGGGCCAGGACTTTGTCCACACCAGCTTGGTCAACAAATGTGACAAATCCGAAACCCCTAGTTGAAAGAGAGATCAAAATTACAACACCTCCACCCATTTGTGTAAAATGGACAATACGGTCAATAATAAAAGCCTTTGTATGTTTGTTGTCGCTTCTCAGTCAGGTTGTTGATCCCTTACCTCGAGCGTTTTGTAACTGGATCTCTCATCACCATACTCTCTTTCACTTCACCAAACTTGCAGAAGTAGTCCTTCAAACCCTCTGAGAAAGCAGGAGAAGAAGAATTATTTCAGAACATTATGTGTGAGAAGCCAACCAAGACTGGAAAATTGTAGAAAACCAAGATTATTCATTGATGACATCAACAGTGAATGGATGACATCATCAACGGAGATGATCTAAGAAGCCTGATAAGAAATAAGGTGAGGTCATCATCACGCAGTGAAATATACAAGACTTTTTGTTTAATTAAGACTATTTATACTTTAAAGACGTATTCTAAATTCTAAATAGTTGTTTTAAAAACATAAAATGTCTCAAATTTAGGCTAGCATATAGATATTAGCCACAAATATAATCCTTAGTTACCGACTTTGGTGAAAAGTAGGTGCCTGCCAAGCTGATGAAGCCTAATGAAAATGTTCATCTATTAAATGATCATAATAGCTGGCAGAATCAGATGACAGGAAGGCTATTAAGAGTTCTGTGCCGTGAACAATACTTCAGCGTAATTCAAAACAACAATGTGTCCTACATACTGAGGACAGCCTACAGCATGACAGCAGTTGGTGAAACTTTCTCCATTCACTCAGCTAAACCTGTTGTATAGGCTTTGCACAAAAGATCAAGCCAAATTACAGAGCAACCCAATGGCTTATTAGTTGCATGCATATGGTGAAACACTTATCAAACTGTTTTCATCATTAGGCTATACTATCTTTAATCTACTTCACTTGTCGCAGTAATTTCTTACATTTCTACTTGCTTTTAAGCAATTTCAGAGATTTTCTTATATAATTGAATTCACATCGGTTTGAATGCATTGAAATTGCAGGTTGTAACTTTGATTTTACAGTAGACTTTGTAGCTATTTGAAAAGGCTATTGAGATTTATTTAGACCGTAATTACACAGTAATTCAGTGTTTTATATGAATCTGATCTGCCTCTTTGGCTGACATGTGCAGATACTTAGCAAAGTGTTACTCACCTTGCGTAGTCTGCCAGCTCAGACCACCGATGAACATTTTGCTGTGAAAACAACACAAGCAAGTGATCAACAAGTGCTGCGCGTTTGCGTATAAATCAGGACTGAAAAGACACGGAAGAGGTCAAGATCTTCCGAGATTCAAATAACAGCAGTGATTCTCAATGAAACTCATCCGAGCGGATGAGAAGTGCGCTGGACACCGCCAAAACACGTTCCCTCTTTGTTAAGTTACTTTTTAATTGATTTCGAACTGACGCTCTTAGGTGTAGGTTTTGAGGTCGGAGGAAGATTTTTTTTTTTTTTTACCAGGGGTCGTGCGGAGAGTCCGAGGAGGACAGGTTACTTTGGCTGCCTTCCGACTCCATTGCGCGGCTGTGTATCCCGTCCGAGTACGGTGCGAGAAAGGAGGCAGAAAGTGTGGAGAGGGGGATTGGCATGGGGTGAGTTAGAGCTCAAAGCCCAAAGACTCCACCTCTCTCTTGGTCCAGTCCCGGCGTGAAACACGGGAGCCCTCGAGAACTGACCGGGAGTCAGTGGATTACCTTCCTCCGTGACACGACAATGACAGCAGAACTGAAACGATTCAGCATCACGTTTACTGTTAAAGATGACAATCTGTGTCTGATTGTAGCGCTTCACCGATTTATCATTCATTCATTCATTCATTCATTTATTTATTTGTGAACATTTATTTATTTATTTTAAATGGAGCTTTTTTTTTTATAAATAAACAAACTTATTATTTGTTTTTATTTATTAATTTCAAAGTACTTAAATGACACAACGTTTAATGCATACAAAATTACCAAAGCATCAATCAAAACGTGTCAGACAAAAGGTACAATAATAAAACAAAAATAGAGTAGGCCGACCATTATAGAAACAACAAAACAATAATATTAGTAATAAATAAATACATAAATACACTTTCAGCAAGGCATTAATGAACATTTAGACTACTGTTAAACAGACAATGAACAAAATATGAATAACAATGAAATGCTAATGAAAATCAAGCACAAATGCCCTCCTCTACAATACCTGCATTTGATTTCTGACAGTTTAGGAAAACAGAGTGAAAGTTGAGAGTTTTTCTCTCTTATATCTCTACGTTTATAACAATGAAGCTGCTAACTTGCCTCTATCTCAACATCATCTTCATCATCATCATTTTGAAGCCATGCTCATTTCCTATGAGGATCTGTCTCTGATTCTGATAAATCAAACTTTCTGTTTAGTTTCCCAGTAACATTTCAGGTTCCTTTGATTTTCACAATGGTATGATTAGTTTTTTGTTTTTTTTTGTGATTTGGTTTTGTTCAGCAGAGTTGCTCTGTAACTGATGATTCTCTCTCTCTCTATGACATTTTCATTTTCTTTTTTTTTCTTTCTTTCTGACACCTGTTGATGAAACTGCTCTGTTGGAAACACGGTCCACTCTGACCTTCTCTCTAGGGGAAGCCCATATCAGCACAGCATATCACCATCACTATAACAACAATTTCACAAATAGAGATGCAGCTAAGCAGGAGTTTTCAACCGTTACAGATCTAGTGACCCCCACCCTGATTCTCAGCAAACTCAGAGACCTCCAATATAAAAAGAGATCATTTTCAGTCACACTTTATCATGACTATACATGATTTAGGTTTTGGAAACATAAATGCCATGAAAATTATGACTCGATACACATTATTTCTACTTCCTGTTATTTGAAACCAGAACATGGTTTAAAAATACATTTGATTAGTTTGGTCAGATTTCAGTTCTCCATACAAGACACAGTAGTATAATCTTTTCAAATTGTCCTTTATTCTTATGTTCTTTTGTGAAAAGGACATAAATGCTGACTGTGTGCAGTGTGAGCAGGTGGTATTGGGGCCATCTTAGATCAATACAGATTTATCTGCCCGTATGGCCTAATTCGACATGTATGAGAGGTGGTAAAAGGCCACTGCACATTGCCAAGTGGCTCTCTACAACTAGCCAGATCTTCTGGAGATTTATATGTCATAATAGGATTGTGGGTAAGCGGTGCTTGGCTGTGTGAATTTATGTGCCTGATTTGTCTGCCCCACTCATAGCACTCATTCTATCTAATTCACACACTTAAGGGCCTGCAGTGGACAAATGTAATTAGAGCGGAACATAAACATATGGTACCAACATTGTGAATTTAAGACATTAATCCTCACTGGCTGCATAAGGTTGGATCAGTTCTGTGCACAGAGAGTATTGATGTTGTCTCCATTTGTGTTTGATCTCAGAGTCACCCCAAGATGAATATACCGTAATCATTTACTTGCCTTCATGTCAGTCCAAACACATAAGACTTTCTTTCCACCTTGGAATAGCAAATGAGACGTTTAGCAGAATATTTGTGCTGCTCTTTTACATACAATTAAAGTGGATGGGGACCAGGGGCTGTCAAGCATCAACTAAATGCATTATTGAAAAAATAAAAATCATATATCAACTCATATCAACTTTAACACTATACATTCCAGGTCTTCTGAAGTCAAAAGATAGTTTTGTGTAAGAGACTGAATGTACATTGTTATTCAATGAAAGTTTTGCTTTGAAAAACTTGCTTGGTAACTGTGGTCAACATTCATCTTCAATGTATGGAAAAGAGCAGCTTACACATTATGTTAAAAATGTTAAAGAATAATGTTTAATTTGGATAAGTAATGTTTGGATACGTTTTGTGAGTATTTTATCAAAAGATTTTTAATTTTAAGAACATCTTTTCGAATTAAATTATTGTTAAGTGCTTTTGGGACAGATCGTATGAATGGTAAATTATATAAATGAATGGTTAATTTATTTAGAACAATGTAGATTTCTTAAAGTTGCTCCAAGTTTTGTGGCATTTTGTCACGGTCCAGGTGTGTGGAGGCTGGCAGGATGACGAGGACATTTAATGTAGAGACAACAAGGCAGATTCGGGTAGATGAGACACACACACACACTCGAGGTAACATTCACAATAACCGACAATACTAGATTACAAGAGACAGGAACTTATAGGGCAGATAACGAGGGGCAGACAGGTGAACACAATGAGGGTAATTAACTAAATGATTATACGGGCTATATATTCTTCCCTGTCAATGCCTTGTTTGCTGCTTGGATTTATTGTATTTAATAATAATGATAATGATTTAAAATGATAATGCTTGTTTGTTATTTGGAGAGGTTTAATACATGCAAATACTTTGTTGGGAATTCTCTTATTCTCCCACCCACATGAATTTATGTAATATACAAATAAATCAGTGTTAATATTTGTATGGGATATGATTCCATAGCTATTGTGATGCTGTTTTCTTCATGGAATCTCAAAGTGTTGCTGAGGTTTTAGTCAGCATGTTCACTGCTTATGGCTTAAGTATTTAATTAGTGCCAGCAATGGCTAATCTCTCTCTACAGCACACACACACCTCAACATGTGACCCCATCACCGATCACTACAGGATTACCCAACCTCTCTAGCATGCTTAACCACATGGTAGCCTAGTGTACAGAGGAGGACTTGTATGAGCCACAGTACTGCTTTAAATACATAGTGCACTGTAGCTCTGAACAGTGCTGTTCTCTGTGTGTATCAAAAGACACTACTGTACACCATATAAGTATAATATAGGCCTAGCTGTGAATTTCTTTGCATAAAGATAAAAATATAACCTATGCAAACAATATTATTATATTAGTCAATAAAAAATAGTGTTCTAAATGTTTGTTGAACTTAAAATGGAATGTACGTTTAAATCAGGGGTCTTCAAAAGAAGGTCTGAAAGTTAGGGGGTCCTGACATTATAGGTTGATCCAAAAATAAAGTTTGTGAAATAAATAAATAAAAAAAATAAAATACGCAGTTAGATTAGCTAAATGTTGCATTGTCCCTTCCACATTAGCTAAATAAAATCAAGTAGCCTATAACTCTGTACATCAGAAATGGTTATTTGCATTCTAAGCATCTTATAAAGCATATAAATACTTTAATATAGGCTAGTGTATTTTCATACTGTAGAGGGGATCCCTTCTTTGTTTCTATCCTCTCTTCCACTAGAAGGCAGCAATGAGATGCTGTTGTTGAAATTCATGAAGCATTTGTGCAAGCATTGCTTGTATATTCGTCAAAAGCCACACTTATACGATTAGTTCTGACATATACTTCTGAAAGGTTTGCTCTTTCAGTTGCCTGAAATGGTGTGTGTGTGATAGAGAGACAGATTTCACAGAGTTGTTCACAGAATGTGAGTGGATTAGTGCTCCCTCTAGTGGAATAGTTAGAACTGGAAGAAACACCTGAATGAAAAGAACTAAATGACATCTTAATGGACTAAATAATAATAATAATAATAATAATATAACTAAATAATAATAAAAATACTAAAATATTTTCACCTTTGGTACAAAAACACTTTCAACATTGATAAACATGTTACTTACAAACTAAACATGAGCACTTATGAAACTACACTAACCCTAGAAATACAAAATACTATAAATACAAATCTTAAACAACCACTTAAAATACACTAATATAGGCTACACAATGTACCTTGTCAGTAAATTTAAGCAAATACCTATAATAATGATGATGATAATAATAATAATAATAAGAAGAAGAAGAAGAAAATTAAGCAAATAAAACCTATAATAATAATAATAATGCATTTTTGGAGCATTTTTCATTGTTACATTATTGTATCTTACATATATTTTTTTTCTCAGTCGGTTACGGGAGAGATAATTCATAAAAGTCATGATTGTAGGCTACTTGTATTTTGACAATTTACAGAAGAGGAAGCAATATTTGAAAGCTTCCTGTCTTTGATTTGGCGGCATGTTTGGCAGGCTTTCGCTTGACAGCTGAAAAGAGGACAATAAACATGAGATCCACGCGGAGGAACGGGACGGGAGAGGAAACGCCTCCAAATCAACGGTAAGCAATCCTTTCAGAGAAACCAATTTGTTTATGTGTTTATTTATCTAATTTAATCATATTTATGCAGATAAAGACTTAAGTCAGCGAATGAGATAAAAAAGGATGTTTGGCTCATCTTGGCATTTCTTCTTTGATTTTGGCCATTGGTTGTACTCAAAGAGCTTTACACTAATACTTACTGCAGTGGGCAGAATTGTAGCTGCGTCAAATACAACAAATCTTGTGCTTTCATCGTGTCTCTTGCCATGAATCAGACAGAGGACAAATGCTGAACAGCACTTTGGAGGAGATGGAGCAAAAAAGTACATTTTTTAAAATAAGGTTTTCAGACGGGGCCTGTGTAATAACAGAAGTGTGTCACAAGAGGGCGACTCTACAATATCTATTAAACCTTTATACCCTGATTTAGCTATTTAATCAAAGGACAAGCTGTAGGCATTAGACAAAAATCTCATAATAATCATTTTATATATATATACACACACACACACACACACACAGGTTTGTTTATGTAAAGAGTGGGGATATCTAGGCCTGTCACGATAACAACTTTTTGTTGT